AAAGTTTTTGAGTGTCACTATGCACTGAAGGCCAAAAATCAGCTGATAAATACAGGCTAGATTGAAATCACTGTAAGCTTAAATCTTCGGTCACAATCCGTAAACTTTGTGCAGCTTTAGTAATAATCTAAGAGCAGAAACTGACTTGATAAGTGTGTGAAAATACAATTATTGAATTTTTTAAAGCGAACTTGGCTCTGTACTGATCTGGAGCTTTTTTTGCAGTTTTGCCATCTAAAGCAAATGATCATCAACTGTGGATAGAGATAAATTCCTTAAAATGAACTCTTGATTTTTTTTTTATTGATCTCATTGAGTCTAACTTTTTGTATTACTTTTGAAATAGTTGAAATAAATAATGTTACCGTTTGCGGCTAAAACGAAGCCTTAAATAGCTCCCGACTTTTGGAGGTTACCCTACCATTGATCCTCACCAGTCTCCTGCGCTGCCAAGGTTTTATAGCTACAGAGTAAGGTACTTTTAGACTCAAGAAAATCTTTTTAAGCGGTTTTGATAATGTCGACCAATTCTTAGTTCTTTTAGCAGGGTTTTACGGCGAAAATCAACGGGAATCTGTGCAAAGAGACTTTGCGTAACGGAAATCAAGTTATTTTCTAATAATGACTTTATAAAAATCTTAAAGTTGCTTCTACTACGTTTGTTAGTTTAACAAAGCCAAAAGAATTTCACTACTTTATTCTGTTGAGCATTGTTTCTAAATTTTTGGCTTTGAATCCTTCAGTTAAAGCAGAGGTTAGTAAAGCGTCAATAACAAACTGTGTCGTGTCGTTCTCCCTTACCGTCAAACATGTGGATTATAGGTTAAGCGTGCTGCTAGATTCACTAACTTTTGGAGTGCTATATCCTCCTTACTACATATCTTACTATAGTGCTGGATCAGGGCAGAGTAAAAGAACGCACAGTGTTGAGGACTATTCTGACGTGTAAAAAAATTTTTTTGAGAAGGATTTTGCAAGATCTAGGATGCAACAATCACTTTTGGGCACTGCCCGTGAAATTCAGTAATAAGGAGTATTGGTGTGCTGAACGTCATCCTCCATCACTAGTAACCCCCTCAAAAAGGAAGAACACTGCATATTTGTTGTTTAATTTAGAATATGAAAGCGATTTTCCTTACACAAGTTTTTATGTTTGAAGCCCTAGGGATAGCCAGAGAAAGTTATGCAATAGCAGCTCTTATTGCTGTTCGTTAATTTTAATTGCTCTTATCGAGTTCTAATTTTATGATAGTGAAAGCGTGTTATAAGTTATTTTTAGAACATTGTTGTCGTACTTTCAGACTTATGACGTTTGAAACTAGCTGCGAAAACTCATAATTTTGTTGTATGTCACCATCTAATTCGATTAGCTAATATTTTTGTCAGTAATATTATTGTTATCCTTAACCTATTGGCTACTATTTTAAAACTGGTACTTGAAGAAGGCATTAAATGTAACAAGGTCATGAACGCCAGCAAATAGGGAAATTTCGTTGAATTACGGTATGAAAACGTTAGAAGTGAAAAGTTATATTTAGCGACGATTGTTCAGTCGTAAAATGAAAAAGAAGACGATCTGATTGCAACTAATAACAGAATTTTTTGAGTTTTATCACCGAATGCCGGAGCATCTTGGGAAGCTTAAATTAACTGAACAGAAATCGGATCTAAGCAAATGACGATTTAGCAGAATTTCCACCCTGATCTTATTCCACAAAAATGTTACTGAAACTTTTATTCAAATAGCGTTGAACAAGTATAGATGATTGCCGACTTGATAGCCAAAAACTTTGGTCAGTTGGGCAGATGAAATTTTCAGAATAAGTAAACTGAGGAATTTTGAAAAAACAGCTATATTTTCACATCATGAATGTGCGGCAAAGCAGTGGTCCCAAAACAGCTGTTATACTGATAAGAAAAAAAAAAATTAGGAAACAGTTATAGTGTCGACTACGATCAAGCACTTAGTAAAGCATAAAGTAGTTTACCGGAATACTGGTCATGCAAAAATTAAATCACTATTTTCCAAAAGTTTTAATAATTTATTCATTTAATTTTATTTTTGTTATCAACTATTTCAGTTGCTGTAAAGTTGTTCTTTTTTCATTACAATTTATGTCATTGTTATTGCTGTTGTTTTATGATTTAATTATCCGCACATCTAGTAAAAAATGAAATTTTTTAGATTTTTCAACTTTGTGTGCCATAGCAAACAATTAAATTTAATAATTGGAAACATCTGAGAGACAGTTGCCGGCAAACAACAAAAAAATTAATTTCAGCTTTTTTTTTTGCAAAATTAGTGCTCCAGAATCTATTGGTTTTTGATTTGTTTCTCTATGCTTTTTTTTTTAAACATGAATCAGCGTTTGAATTACGCCAAAAAAACTTTTAATTTGCATTCAAATTTATGAAGATGACAATTTTGGCAAGAGAAAGAATATTAACTTACGAACCTAGAAGCGGGACTGAAGTAGAGCTGTGAGGTACTTTTTCACTGACAACCAACGAAAGTACTGCCATGGTAAGGATAGCTGTAACACCTAATGTGAAACGCTCCTGAAAATTCAGTGCTTCAGTCAGTACTTTTCCATAAAAAGCATTTGATAGATGCTACAATAATAGAGGTGTTTAACGATGATAAAAACTTCTACAGACAAACAAACAGAATGTTTCAGCATTAATTTTTCAGAAACCTGGCATTCTTACCTCTCGTTCTCCGGTGGTTGAGAAGCGCGCAAAAAGTCCAACAACAGATATGGCACACATAACATAGGACGGGAACGTTAACGTTACCATATAAAACAGAGGTTTTCTTCGCAGTAAAATATCATATTTAAGTTCGCTTACCTATAATAAACAATAAAATTTGAAAAATTCAATTGTTTTTGCTTATATACAGTGCTTTCCCCCTTTTTTCTTCACCTGCAAACTCTCTAAGCCAATCTTTATTTATTTTGTTATCAGACAAAAAAAAAATCTTTTTGGTTGAAACAGATAAAGGAAAAATTTTGAAGATTATTCTGTGAATATCAATAAAACCGTATACATCCCTCCAAACCTCATTTTCCATTATTTGCAGGTAATGGGCAATTAGTGGCACTGTTGAACACGCTATCTGACTATTTCTGTTTTTAGTTTTATTCGTTTATAATTATTAGCAGAAAAAACATAATTAAAGTGGTATCTCATTTGTACAAAATGATTAAAAATCACGCTTATCAGAAACAGTAAAAATTATTTTGTAGTTTATACATAACTACTTCTCAGTCTTTTTACAGTTGTAACACTTCTTCCTGTTTTTCTGAAGTAAATGTTAAACTATCCTAGGGGTGTGATTTCAAGAGGAACAGAAGCTTTATTAAGCGTCTGTACTTGAAGGGTCAAAAAAGCAAGTTGCGAAAGCAGTACAGTACTACTTCTACTAGTCTAGGCTAGAAAAGATCCATAGAATGATTTGATGTCACAACTGACTTGGTTCCGAGAGAGAGACAGTATTTTAGTGTACACCATCTATAGATTCCCTATAACAACAGTAGAACACTATAACTGAAGAAAAAAAACGGGACTTCTGTGTCTTTAAGAATCCGTTAGACAACTTACATAAATGCCTTCATGTTCATACTCTTTTTCCACCACCGTAACGTTAAGCAGATGCCATTCCTCGTTTGGTGAATAATGCTCCAATGAATGTTTGATGTTAGCATTCAATCGAATTTTGTCATCTCCATATGCCCAACTTGCGATCTTAAAACAACTCTTTTATCTCACCAGTTGATTTCACAGTTTGTTACCCATCGTTTCTTAAATTACTCGCTCATCTACGACTCCCTTTTTCCTCCCAACCATTCTTCCTTTTCTTTCTTTTATCTGCTACCAGAAAAAGAGTAAAAAAGTTCTTTTTTATGTCAAAGTTGGTTAATCTTGTGTTTCCTAAAGTAACGTTTGCTCTTTCTTCTAGGAAAGATCTGACTGTATGTGCCAGCGCACCGTTCTTAGATTTTCATCGATGAAACAGCACCATCATAGGAAGATGTTGATGAAAAAGAACAGCAAAAACAGCAGCAAATTCATCAGTAAATAAAGCATTCTTAATCTTGCCTTTATTTCATATTCTTATTTGATTTCTATAATGTAGTTCACAAAACAGTGAATAATGAACCAAAACATTTCAAAAAGACTGCCAGAAAACAGAGACACTCATCAAGGTTAACATAACAGTAAACAGTGACAGAAATTTGTAAATTTAGCGGCAATTTATGTCTAGTCAAAAAAAGATTAATAAAATTTGTTAAACAATAGAAAAACACACTGTTCCGTCACCTCTTGTTGTGCAACTTATTGAAAATTATGAAATTTTGATAAGTCGTCTGACAGGTACTTCATAAAGCTTTCCATTTTTTTAATATTACAAAAACGAAATAAAATATAAAGAAAAAGTGAGAAAAAAGTCTTAAAGATATAGTATGCTTGGTTTTTTCTGTCTCTATAAAGCGTTATTAATATTTGCCGTCATAATAACGAATAAAACAGCAGTGGTAATAAAGCAAAAAATTTTAAGGGAAAAAACTTGTTTGGAATGATCAGAAAATAAAAAACGATGGGAAAGAAAACGAATAACTATGTTGAGAAAGAAAATTCAGTAACATTTCCAAGCTTATTCTTTGCTCATCAAATAGCCTATCTGACGTCTAACTGTGAATGCCTGTTGTAAGACGAATGCAAAACTATTAAATAATTGAGTTCAATTGCTGAAGCAAAGACCAAACTGAAAGAAATGAGAATGACGATGATTTAATAATAGCAGAAGATTACTTCTTTAGATTGCAAATCAATGTTCATCGTAACAGAATCTGTTGCACATAATCTGTTTTCATGAAAAATTATTACCCATCTCCCTTTTGCTCTGTTCTCGTCTTGTACCTTCTTAAAATCTCAAAAAAAAAAAATTTTTTTTTTTAAAATTAAATAGAAAATAAAATGTACTCTTTATTTTCATGCAACTAATATATCACTTTTTTTTTGCTGAAGGTTTTATATATGAAATCTGTTGATAGGTTTTGCATTATTAATTTGTCTGTCTAATTTTGCTGTAAAGTAAGCAACCTCTAAAGAACATTTTTGATCGTCCAGTGGAAAATGCTTGATGTTGATTTCACAGGATACCGTGTAGACGGCTGGATGCGCAAATTCCACTGTTCCATTGCTGTAGATAAGCACCGGAGCACGAATATTTTCCAATAAATCTTCGTGATGTAACCTGTAACAACAAACCAGTTTTCAAATAATTTTTAAAACATATGTACACCTTGTTTGAACCACTAAATGACCGCTAAATAACTGACTGCAGAAACTAACACCGTAGTCAATTAAACCAATAATCTCTGATGAATCTGCTCTTAGTACAAATTAAAAATAAAAAATAAAAAGCTGAACTTGCTTTGGAAAAGCAACTTTCTTCATCTTTTTCTTCACATCCTCTTCCTTTTTTATAGCTTCTATTAACGACAAAAGTTTTTTAGCCATTTTATAAGTGAAAACAGTGCCACCACCAACAGCAAAAAAAAACCTTCTAGAAAAGATATTCAATAAAAAAGACAGAAAAAAGAAACAAACATATTAAAAACAATGATATCGGGTATCCATATTTTTGATGTTGGTAACCATGTTTTTAATAATCCACCAAATCCTTCTGGATTCCAAGCTAATGTTGGATCATTCCATTTCTGCAAAATAAAGCCAAAACAAACGACAAAACCTATTTGAAAAATAATAAAAAAAGTGTTATGCATTTCAAAGTACAATTGTTATGCAATAAAACAATGCAGGTTTGTTTTTGTCATTAATATAAGCACTGTCTTAAAGCTGTAACAGCTAAAAAAAATATTGAAGAAAAAATTTGTAATTATTTTTGAGCAAAGCTCAAAAGAATAAAAGGATAACATTACATATCTGATGACCTCAACTTACTGTTTAGCTGAAATTAACCCAAATGATCTTTATCCGTAAACGTCAGAAAAAAAAACATAATTTTCAAATTTCTCGAGTAAAATTTATACGCAAGTTCTGTCAGTGTAAGCCAAATAATTTTTACTCACATTTTTCTGTTCCATCTCGCACACTTCCTGGTTTCTTCCCGTTCATATAGCACAGGTTGATAAGCATAATTTTTCTGAACCTACCTCATTAACATAAACTAATGCGGTCATCGTTTGCTTGAGTTCGTCGATTCCAAGGATATGCACAAGTTCCAGCTCATAGACCATATTCAAGATGCCGTCCGGTGGTGCATTAATGTTGTGTTGGCTGAGCAAAAAATCAGTCAAATTTGCTGATGCACCTTGAAAAAGAAAAATAGAAGTAGAATGAAAAGCAATAAATAAAAATAAGATTTGAAAAAAAAAAGAACAAACAAAAATAAACAGCAGAAAAAAACTAATATGAATAATATAACAGTAAAAAACATCAACAAAATTTACACATATACATTTATCTATGTACATTAAATATTTATTTTTAATAAAAATAACATTAACAGAAAAATAATGACAAAAAAACCGATAATTTTTTCTATCCAATTTCATATCTTTCTTCTTTTCTATTTTTTCCCAGCTTTATCCCAGCTTCAGCTTACTCAATTTTTTCTTCTGGTTCTTTTATTCTACTTACTTATTACCTTGCTAGTACACTAATTTGATAATGAGAAAAAAAAAATTTAGGTAGGCAGAATAAGAACAGGAGAGCAAAAAAGAAGTAGAGTTATGCTTTTTTTCATATGCCATCTACGATATCCCTACAAAATTAGCAGTTTTGTAGAATACATTTGATAATTGACCAAATTTTTTTGGTTGGATATTGTTTGATGTTTTGAATCCAGCCAAACCAAATGATAAATTTGGAATTAAATTTTTGAATCATAGACATTTTTGCTCAATAACAGTCTATGCATTTTTACTCCGTCATCTTTGTATTCGTAAAGTTTCCGACAACGACGAGCTAAGAATGCAATAGTTCCACTGAATAAGAAACAAAACAGAGAAGACCAACAGTTTTATTGCAGCATTTTTGTTCTGCCTTATAAAGAAACTAGTGCGATATCAGTGTTGCAAAAAGTTGCAAATGGTTTTAGGGTAGTTTTCCTTCATTTTTTTTTTTTGCAAAAACAACAAATCAAAATCAGTATAGCTATTCAACTCTCAACCTCTCTGCAAACTTTAAAATTTTAGCTGGCAAAATAGTCTTTATGAACGAATCTAAATCAGCACTATCTTTTCATGTTTCATTTTTTTCATCTTTTCCGCTTTTCGTTGCAAAACTGAAACAACACTTAATTTTTTGTCCTACAAAAAAAAAAAAAAAAAAAAAAAAAAA